GTGAGGAAATATTTTTGCTTATATTTTTGCATCAAATATTTTGATGTTCAAATCTAACTTTTATAATCTAACTTTTTCCTAAACTTCTCCACAACTTATCTCTGACTTGAAGTTTGTTCTCCTTGCTCTTCATGATGCTGTTTCTTCATAAATGTTCTCTTGAAAACGTCAGAGACCTAATTCTAATAACGAAACATCTGAGGGAAATTGGACATACAGGACTCAAAATCGAGGAAGGAAATTAAAAGGGACTGAATACAAAAGAACACATTTTGTTCCTTTCTTATTTGTAGATCACTTTAAGACTTTGAGTGGGCCTATCACTTAAAATACCACTGAAATCCACCAACGTTTATCATTGTAAAAGGAAAAAAATGTTACAAATACATGGCATGTTCCTTTACTAAGCCTACCTGAGAGGTTTGAGCTTCTGGAAGAACCTGTGCTGTTCTGTTTGAGCATGTTAGAAGTTAGGCACGACCAACATGTTTCTGTCTCATTTTGTTTAAAAGAAATATAAAGCAATTAAAATTAATTACCTGATTGAAAGTGTAATAGTTCTTGGCATGATTCCCCAGTGATTATTCTTTGTTTAGGCACATCTGCAGTAGTCCTCTGGTATGGCTCATTGCTTAAGACGTGACTTTTTTTTTCTTTTTTTTGTCTATTACAAGTGAAAAAGCAACACAAATGGTTGTTGCTGAAACACCAGCTCAAGCAGCAAAACCACAAATTAACAATTTAGCAGCAAGGATGATTTTGCACAAAGGGGACATTTTTCAAAGTGAGGAAACAGGTTGTTGTGTTTCATTAGTCAGATCTGAATATTTGTCTATGCTAAGAAGTGAAATATATATATGTATATATTTTAAATCAGTGTCATCCATGCTCTGGAGTGGGACTTCCCCTCCTGATGTAACAAAAACAAAAACAAACAGAAACTCTTAGTATAAACTTTATTAATAAGCTCATCGAAACTGGAGGCAGTTTCCCCCCTTGCTGCTGCAGGATTTTATGGATGCTGCTGTGCTTTGTTTCCAGATTCCAGGGAACTGATAAGGATTGGCATGAAGATTGATTAAATGATTTTAAGTACCCAGAGAGGACCCAAAAATGCAGAAACATTCAGGCCAGGATTCGAACCCATGGCCTTCTTGCTGCAAGGCAACAGTAGACGAATATTAACAACAGACAGGAAAAGGATTCACTTTACAGAAATCTGCTTGTCAACACAAACATTTATAGTTCCAGACACCGTACTGCGTCCGACGTGTTAATGAAAAGCTGAGTGTAAGACAAAAACTGCGGCAGAAGAAGATTCAGAAGCAACACGAGTAACCGCAGTACTGATAGGGTTGTAAAGGAATGCTCATTCAAGAGTTTGGAGGAGATTCAAAAGGTGTGGACCTCACACAGATGTTTCCAGGACGAGGAGTACAACTGTCACATTCCTTGTGTTCAATCATTCCTGAAACAGAAACAATGTCAGAAGCGTCTTACCTGGGCTATTATACATTTACTTTGATCCCAGAGTTTGGGGAAAGAGTAGAGAGGCACAAACTCCAACCAGCCAGAGTTTTACAGAGATGTTTCCACTGTCAGTGATAATTTAGGGTGTCTTGTCAACTGCTGGTGTTGATCCACTGTGTTTTATAAAGTCCACAATCAATCTACCTAGAAATTTTAGACTCTAAATTAAACCTATACTTCTGCTCTAGGGAAAAAAAAAAACGTTCGTCTTTTTGAAAAACGACATTTTCGGGTTTTATGAGCTGTAAGCAGCAATTATTGAAACAAACAGAAATATGTCTGATTTGGAGTTGCTTAAAAGCACATTTTGAAAAGTGTTTCATTTTTACTTTAGTCTTGAACATTTGGAATCTGAAAAATAAAAATGTCAACAATATTGGTGACAAAATTTTTTTTAAAATATTTCTTTATTGGTCATTTATCTCAGTGTGGACTGGCCTATGACACACTGGTGTCGCTTATTGTGAGTTGCTGTTTGTGGGGAGAAACACTGAGAACCATGGTAATTAACAGAGAGCAATAGAATAAGCCACTTTATAGACATGCACCATGAAGCACTTAAATGCTAAGAAAGAGGTGAAAGTAGCAGATGAACCAATAAGAGCTAATCAGAAATAAGTAGAGACAGCTGGGGGGCTAGAGCAGGAAGAGCGTAATTAAAAGATGTGGAAAAGCTGAGATGTAAGTAAAATGGTAACCTGAGGAAAACGGAAAGAAACAAACTAAAAGCCAAGAGATGAAAATTAGAAGCAAAAGGGAAAAAACTATAGCTAACATAAAAAGTAGACAAAGGAACAGCAATTCAAAAAAAAACCTTAATCATAATATACAAATGAAAAGAACAAGCTCAAAGCAATAATCTAAAACCTGATCTAAGTAATATGTTGCTAAAACCAGAAACACAAATAAAACTAAAAGTTAAAACACCTACAGATCATGACACAAAATGAATACGTTGCATTAAAAATGAAGTGCACGCGTATCGCTTGTTTTAAGTCAATAAGCAAATGAACCTTTTAGTTTGCTGTGGATCATCCTGAGAAGGGCTTTATTGGTCGGAAGAGACCAAAGCAGAGATGTTTGGCCAAATTGCAAGGCATGATGTTGGAAAGAAACCAACCAAAACATTTCAGCATAAAAACCTCGTTCCAATTGTCAAGCATGATGGTGGAGAATCCCAAACCAGCAAAACAATCCCAAACCATTGTTTGGGATTGTAAAGGATTCACTTGCAGCCATTGGTCGACCATGAATCCTCTGTATGCCAAAGATTAAAATGTGTGGCCATTTTTCCAGGCTTTTATGTCATGCCAGCAATGAGGCAATGTTGCGTAAATAAGTTCTCCACAAACAGAAAGACAAGGATAAAGTCACACAGAAAATTATTAGTTCAAGATATTATTGCTAAAGATGTTTATTAATCAATCATTGGGTGCGCCCACAGGGATTTATTTCCTGCTTTAACTTTATTTGATCTGTACAATCTCAGTATAACCTATTGAATGCCTTTGTACACTTGGGGTTAGGTTTGAATCATTTTAGAACCTGGGAAGGAGCAGACGATTGTTTTATGTCGTGACATGAAAAGCCTTAGTACTAAAAGAGGGTGTAGTTTGTTTTAAGCATGACTGCTTTTAGCGAATGCACCATAATTTTAAGTGTTTATTAGGGAATGACAACAGAAAATGCAGTTATTATTATTATTATTATTATTATTATTATTATTATTATTATTATTATTATTATCATCATCATCATCATCAATCCTTAGAAAATGAGTTATCTCTGATCTCCTTTTGGCTATAGACAATTAGTTATCTTTTTCTTTGGCTCAATGGGAAGACATGAGGTGTTGAAAAAGTTTTCAGTCTAAGCAAAACCAGTTTTTAGATTAAAGCTGGGATAATTTTGAGAGTATTTGTTGGGTTTGGACCTTTTGCCTCCATGCAAACAGCATCATCGATATCAGATACATAAATGTGTGCAATAGGAGCCAGAAAACATTTTCTGATGTAGAACAAGGTTATTCGCTGGGTTATGGATGTAAAGGCCCAACATTAGTCCCTGGGTAGATAAATCCTCTCTTAGTTCTCTGCATTGATTTGCTCCAGACCAGAATCAGAATCAGAGACTTTTATTTACACTCATTACAAGGAAAACTCACTCAGCATATTTACTCTTCTTGAGAATATACTGACTACTACGTTTTCTGTGTGAACAAGCTCTTTCATTAAAGATCTCATGAATTTGGTCATCTTGTCCTCTGCAGAGGACACAGAGTCCAGGGACTCTGTGAAAGGTGAATCAATTACTATGAAGTCGTTGAAGTACTTGGGAAAGTAAGCTGGATGTGGGGGATGAGATGTTGAAGGCTCTGGATATTGTTGGGTTGTTGCAGGTTATGCACCTCTTCAGTATTGCACGGGTCACTGGAACGATATCTATTGAGTTCCAGACCAAGAGTTTGGCTGTCCATTGTGTCTCAAAAGAAGCTTCGAACCATGTCCAGCAAGGCATTTTGTGGAAGAAGGTCAAGGCCTTCCGGTTCTTGTGCGCACAAAGCAGGAGTTGGATCTATATTCTCAACTTACAATCAAGCTTTCTCCGAGTGTGGGTTGGACTCTCCGCTGCCACGAACAATGTTAGCTTTGTTCATGGACAAGACCTCAAGGTGTCGTCATGGAGGGGAGGGTTTTGGAACCTCAGAATCTCATGCTTGCTTTATATATATTTCAATATGAATCTGTCAGCATCTTTTAATCCAGTCATATTCCTCTAAATATGAGTCCAGGGCTCCCAGTTGAAAATGGACGACCACGGCATCCAGCAGCAAAGCATTCCAATGTTTTTTACCAGAAATACATAGCCAGAGCCCAATAAACTGTTCTGACTTGTTTATTTATTTATTTGCTTGTTTGTTGTTTTTTTTCTACAGACTGTTCTGTCAATTCATTCCATATGGGGCCAATGAGGGCAGGAAATAGGCTGACTCCAGACAGGAGTAACTGCCAATGTTAATTGGCAACATAAGTTTGATGTAGAGCAATGCTGGTGAAAAGCGAGACCCAATCGGGTCCTACACACGTTGTCAAATTTGTACTGATTTTCTTAATGCCGGTTTAAGTCCAAGCCAAGACCCACATAGGGGGTTCAGCTGTTTTTTATACTTTTTTTTTTTTCGACACGAGTTATATTATCCAACTTAAATGGGCTCCATACAAGAAACCTTTTGTAACCCCCAGGCTCACTAAATATAAATCCAGGCAAAATCCATACAAGGGGGAGGGGGCCGGTTGGGTGCATTTCTTTTTGTCCAGGTCCAGAAAATCCTTTCATATTCAGCACAACCATATTATCCCACTCGTTCATTTTCTGGGAAAGTCACCAAAAAACTCCAAGACTGTTCTTGTTCTGTAGCTGTCTTTTAAAAATGTCGACCCCTCTCCCCCATCTCTCGCTGTGTGACACAGGTCCCTGGCCCTGGGGCAGCAGTACTCGTCTCTGGGCTCCCAACCCCTCCTGTGTGGCTCCATCCCTGGCTTGGTGGCCAAGCAGCTTCGCTTCTGTCGTAACTACATCGAGATCATGCCCAGTGTTGCTGAGGGTGTCAAACTGGGCATCCAGGAATGTCAGCACCAGTTCAGAGGCCGCCGGTGGAACTGTACCACCATAAAGGACAACCTTGCCATCTTCGGACCAGTGCTGGATAAAGGTAGATCCTTAATGCTAATTGTTTTCGTAGACTCAATGTCTTCTACCCATTGGGTCATGTGACAAACACACGTTTTAGTGAATGTTATTGGGGTTTTTCTGTGGCAAAGAAAGTCGCACATTTTCACTTAGATGAAGGATAATATTAAAAGTTGTGAAAATATTTTCAAGCATAAAAAAGTGAAAAGAATAGGGTGTATTTGTAAGAAGTTCGTTTTACGTTCATAATAAGCCTCAGTCCACATGCTCCACCTCTGTACAACTAAATCTGAGTACAAATTCAACTGGTCTATGAAGGCCTCAGAGGTTTATTAGAGAAAAAACATTATCAAGAGGACGAAGGCTATAATATTGCTAAATATTACAATAATTATATACTTAACAATTAATCTAAATTTGAAGCAGTCTTTTAAAATTGAGAATTTTCAGAAATATTGATAAGGATAACTGCAATTCAATATTGTGCACCTATAACGAAGTATGAAGAATATAGCAGACAGATCAGGAACACAGATTTGAAGATGTTTAAAGCGGTGAGGTTGCAAGACAATTTTCAAACATCCTTCCACGTTTTTTGCCACAGATTGTCAATGGAGAATTTGACTTTTCAAAACTTGACAATTGGTGTGGACAGTCATTGACTGTCCAATTTAAATAAACTTGAGCTATTTTGCATTATGAAGATTTCAGACTCTAAATGTTGAAAGGTGGTAGAAGAACACCTCAAAAGAGATGCATATATAATTCAAGTTAAAGTTGGATCTCAACTGTCCTGACGCAGAGGTCTGAATAGAAAGAAATACACACTATACTTTTCAGATATTTTTTGTTAAAAGAAAACGAACAGTGACGTTTGTGGGTGTGATCTGATGAAATGTGAAAACCTCATAAAAAAAATGTTAAAAAGAGAAAAAAAAAATTTCAAGGCAATATATTTTGACTCTATTCAGACAGATATTGATTTGACAAAATTGCAGATGAGTACAATAAGTGCAGTTGACACACTATAAAAAGTATATCAGGTGCTTTTCACTAACATAACTACTGATATGGAATATCCCTTACACAGGAAACAATAGAACCATGTCTTCTGCTCAAAACCCGGATTTTAAAGGTAGACGTTTCTGCATTGTGACTAAGCCTGCTGATTGGAAATGAATTAGCTTGTGTGTCAGAGGAGAGGGAAACCGGGCAGGAATGGGCAGTGTGAGCAGTCCAAGCTCCTCAGTCAAATAAAAGGGATAGGGGAGGCCAAATGAGATTACAGGCAACAGAAAAGGGCCTAGGGGCTCCGCTCAACCCCTACTGTGCATGAAGACCAGTCCGCTCCCCACACAGTCCAGCTCCCACGGACACCCCATTCACACGCCCTTTTGACTCTGTCATGAAAACAGCCTGAAAGGAGATCTCCCCAAATCTAGACCTGTAGATCTTTGGGGTGAGGAAGCGAAGGAAGTAGCAAAGGAAAGACGACGAGTGTGTCTCTGTAGGAGTGAGGAAAAAGAAGGGAGTTTTGGAGATGTTCAACCTGTCGCCACCTTCAGGTGCATATTGGCACTGCTATTTGGTGAATGGCCAAGGATCCAGGGAAATAGATGCGGGGGTATAAGGGTGTATGCCATTTCAGCTCAGAGTGGAGGTGGAAATGGGTAGTTGGAGGGAGAGGAGGGGGAGTTAAGGGAATGCCAGCTCTGGGCAGAGCGGGGCTGTGGGGGCGCTAGTCGCTGGGTCCTTTGTGCAGATAATACAGTGTGACACAAGGGAAACAAAGGCGGATTGATGGGCCCAGCAGGTAGCAGGAGCAGTGCTGGCCTTGGTTGACAGCCAGAGATCCAGGGGCCCAGGGCTCATGGGGGCTTGTTTTCAGGGTCTGACTGGTCCTGGCAGGGCAAGAAAAGGAAGCCCAACCTGCAGACTGTAAAGTGCGCTAAAGTCTTGAGTCATCCCTTATTTCTACAAAATGTACTTCCAATAGCGCAGACTGTTGTTAAATAGGTCTTGATCAATAGAGAACCCTGCAAAAGTAAGTATTTTTAAGTTGTGCCAGAAAATCTTAATCTGGACCTTGACTGGATATTATTTAACAGATAAATATGCTTTGATCTGAACGATCAAATTGTAGCTCTGGCTGTATGTTTGGGGTTGTGACCTTGCTGGAAGTTGAACGTCTGCAACAGGACTCTTCCAGAACGGCCCTGTAATTGGCTAAATCATGTCTTCCCATCACCTCTGATTAGGATTTCTCTCTCTGCTGAACATTATGCATCCCCACAGCATACTGCTGCCACCACAGAGAGACAGTAATATGTTTTGGTTGCTCCATGAGAATGTTTAAAGTTTCAGATTTTCTTTTAGAACCCAACCTTGTTTTAAAGTTTTCCACATCTTTTCTCCCTGCTTTGTGTTCCTTTGTCTTCACGATGCTCTTTGAAGCCTTCACAATGCTGCTGGATTTATGACTGACAATAAATTAAACATAGTGGGCTGCAAACAGTGCACAAACATGGCTACGGTATGAAAACAGGATAAATAAAGCGGACAACTTTCAAAGAAAATCCTCGAAAGACTTACAAGAAAACTGGAAAACAGCCGATCAAGTCCACTTCTTTCTGTGCATTACATAAATGGTTGAGAAGACAATAAAGATCTTGGCTTGACTATGAAGTCCATCTTTTTTGCAACTTTGCTTGGAGACATGCTGAGCATTGATGAGTCTTTTAAAGTGCCCCTGTTGGGTTTTCTCTAAAGTTGAGACACGGAGGAATTCCTTACTTTAGATACAGCTGAGAATTTGATTCTGTTCATGTTAAGGCAAAATATATATATAAAATCTGCCCCAGCCCCTGTAGTAGAGAGATCAGGCCAGTACGCGCTCCTGACAAGTCAGCTATATGACACACTGTCATTCTTGTGTGAGTCTACAGCAGAGTAATGGCTGAGCTGTACTAAGTGTGCTGTGATTGTGAAACAATGGTATCTGATTACATAATAAGCTGTTCCCTTGAAAGGAGGCCTAACTCCATCCCTTCAGCGTCAGTAAGAAACGGGACGACGCTCTGCTCGGTTTCACCTGAGGCCGTTGGGCTGTGAGCTGGGACGGGTGAGGGGGTGACAACATTCCTGAAACACTATCCAGATGCACAGCAGCACACCTCGGGGATGACAGGAGGTCACTGAGCTCCCACTCAATACCGGGGCCTACCTGACACCACAATGGGGAGCTGTCAGGGCAGAGATTCTGCCTTGTTGCCGCTAATATGAACTAAATTGTAAACAAAAACTGTTAAAAATTAATACAAAAAAGGGAGTTTTCTTTGAGCTACTTGTTTTTCTCTTCTTCTTTTTTTTCCTTTGGCAAATACCTGTCCATAAATTTGTTGCTTCCATAGATGAAAAGTTGTGTTAAAAGGGTTTTGCCTGGAGGGATCCTTTTCAATGTATCTGTCTGGATGTTGGCAGCAGCTTTGTCCATGTTTAAATTCAAGATTGACACTCCTCTCCTTTTTTTTTTCTACTCTGTCTGTCTTTGATTGTCTCCTTCAGCTACGAGAGAGTCTGCGTTCGTTCATGCCATAGCCTCTGCCGGTGTTGCCTTTGCAGTGACCCGATCCTGCGCCGAGGGCACGTCCACCATGTGCGGCTGCGACTCACACCACAAGGGGCCACCGGGTGAGGGCTGGAAGTGGGGCGGCTGCAGCGAGGACGCGGAGTTCGGGGTGCTGGTGTCAAGGGAATTTGCAGATGCCAGGGAGAACAGACCGGATGCTCGCTCTGCAATGAACCGGCACAACAACGAGGCCGGACGCACAGTAAGCATGTGCAGAAAGAGTCAGTGATAGGATTTGACTAATAAAATGTAAATGTGCAGTACCAAATAGACTTAAGTTGGGTAGACTTTATACAATACTTGTGAGTGTACAATGCCTTGAAAAAATGTGAAAACCATTTTTGCTTTACAAATTCCTTCTTTTTTTTTTACTTTCTTTGTCGAACTTAATCATTTCATTTTAAACTTGGCAATGCATCTTTTAGATCACAGTGGAGGAAGTTTAGCCCAATTGGCTTTACAGAAGCCAATTGTTTTAATTCAATCACATTTGAGGCTTCTTAAGCATTTATAGTCTACTACGTGCTGTTGAGCCCGTCATTTGAAAACAGAAAAGCATGTGCCACAGCTGCAAACCAAGTCCTGGCTTTACACCTTTCCTTCTTCAGGCACAGGGACGCCAATGAAGTAATCAAGAAAGAAAATCCGTTATAGGCGGTAGAATACTCAAAGTTGCACCGTTCAGTAGTGCATCCAATTTGACTGAAGTTAAACTTTTTCGCAAAGATGATATGGGGAAAAATGTACATATGAAAAGTTGCTGTTGGAGACAAACTCCAAAAGGCATCCATTTGTAAAGGCAGATGCTTGCCAGTGTATTTGTTAAAAGTTTAACTAAGTTTACTTAATTTAACTTCAAGAAAAGTTCAGGCCACTATGAAAACTAAAACAATGAGCTGCTTGTTCCAAAGCGAAGATGATTTATGCGGTAAACACTGCGGTTTGGGATTACTAACTGCTTGTGAGATGAGCAGGGATTTGCTATTTGACTCGTCCGCACATTTCCGAGACTCTGACTGAAAATGAGCTCCCGACTTTGAATGACTGGTTAATTACTCATCTAAACAACAGTCAGCCCCACGCCTTGCCTTTCATGCTCGGTGTCCCAATGAAGAAGAAGCAGAAGAGGAAGAAGAAGAAGAAGGAAAAAATTCCCCCAACAGTCAAATAACCCGAGCGACTTGACGGTGGAAGAAAAAGGGAATCAGCTCAGACTTAAAACATCACCGGCTGCCGTCACTGCTGGGGGAAAACAGGCCCTCGGCTGCTCGCTCGGGGGCAAATAGAGGGACCACACGGGAACGAGGCAACCCTTTGATCTGAGCACACCGGAGCAGTTAGACGGGCCACAGGAGATAACTGAGCAGTGCTGCCGTCAGAGGCCTCCAGCTCTCTCCACCTGGTGCTCTCACGCTTCACTATTTAGCCCCGAGGCCCTGGGACTTTATCTCAGCATGACAAGCTCACATCGTGATGTCACCAGTCCGCCGGTGCACGGCCACCTGCTTTCCGCCCTAGCTGGGGGAATTCAGCTGCTAAATATATCTGGTAAATGAAAGCACAACTAAATCAAAACACAAAGGTAAAATGCGCCCTGAGGGAACGCACGCTGACTTCAGAGAGAATTAGCAGCAGCACAAAGCATCTGTGCTTCACAGCTGCCTGAACCCTGAGTGACATACAGCCAGTGGCTCGTTTTTATTTCGCAGAACTGCACTGCGCAAGCTTCAGACAATGAACCGCAACGTAACCTGCTGGTATGGAGAGTCTCATGGTTTGGCATTGGATAAAAACACCCCAACATTGTGTTACTAACAGAGATGTAAAATTATAACATATTTTATTAAGTTTACAGTCTAATGTAACAAAGATTTTTATATCTCCATTTTGTTACCTTTGACTAATTTTACAGCCAACGAAACGTGACAGTCTTACATCCAATACAAACATAGGAGAAGAATGTTGACTTGATTTTTGCCCAGCAAATAGTCTTTGACACTCAAGAAGGATAAAGCTAAATAAAAATAAAAAAAATCATTGCCAAAGAATCCACCTGCTCTCTATTCAAGAATATTTACAGAAAGTTAAGTGGAAGGAAAATATCTGCTAAAAAATGTACAATAATCACAGCTTCAATAAACGTGTGATTGAAACTTAAAGCGAAGCAGGAAGAGTTAAATGCGAGACAACTCTGGAAGAAAACCAGGTGGATCCTTCAGAAGATTTCCCTCCGAGGTGGCGGTTCACCTTCCAACATGACGACTCAGACCATAAAGTCAGATTTATAATAAAACAGTTTACATAAAAATGATTTATGTACTGCTATATCTGGGAGTCTGTCCCAGATATATCTTGGAAAGTCTAAAGATGTGCAAATCTGGTGGAGACATATTCTAAAAGACATGTATTGACAGGCCTTCAGGCAAAATCTTAAGTAAGCAGATGTGACCGACAGACGTCATGTCTTAGCATCTTTTTTGTATGTATCCTGAGATCGTGAGGTGGCATATCTCTCGATAGAGGTCAGCTTGTCCCATAGAAATCTGGAAAAAGACTTTTCAGTAAGACCTAGAGAGAAACAGTTCTGGGTCAAATCCGAGGTGCTTTGGTGCACTACTGTTTCAATTGGTCAATGGCATCCAAAATATCAAAAGATGTGCAACGCCACAAACTAAATGACTGCCTTCTGTGTTCCTCAGACCATCCTCGACCACATGCACCTGCGCTGCAAATGTCACGGCCTTTCCGGAAGCTGCGAGGTGAAGACCTGCTGGTGGGCGCAGCCGGATTTCCGCACGCTGGGCGACTACCTGAAGGACAAGTACGACAGCGCCTCAGAGATGGTGGTGGAGAAGCACCGCGAGTCACGGGGTTGGGTGGAGACCCTTCGAGTGAAGTACAACTTCTTCAAGCACCCCACCGAGCGCGATCTGGTCTACTATGAGGGCTCCCCCAACTTCTGCGAGCCCAACCCAGAAACTGGGTCGTTCGGGACGCGCGACCGCGTCTGCAACGTGTCGTCACACGGCATCGAGGGATGCGACCTCCTATGCTGCGGCCGCGGCCACAATACCCGGACTGAGAAGCGCAAGGAGAAATGCCACTGCATCTTCCACTGGTGCTGCTACGTCAGCTGCCAGGAGTGTGTGCGTGTCTATGACGTGCACACGTGCAAATAAGAGGCCTGTACTTTAAGGCAAACTGACTGCTGGACCTTCTACCTTAACCCCCGTGTCCTGCACAACTTCCCTGCAGACGCAGACCCATTCTGCATACCGGTCAATAACCCACTCACACACAAACTTAGTGCGGAGCCAAGCAAGGGTCAGGTGCAACAATAAAAACAGAGCTTAGGTCAGTTTAGTTTGGTAATTCCTTGAGTTCATTGATTTACAGTAACACTGGTGTTTATATACACCAGCTGTATAATTCTATACAGTTAAAAGATTGTCTGTATCTTGCAACACTCAGATGCAATATTCATCCATCAGCACTATTAACAGTACAGTCATTAAATCACGTTGGACGTGTCAGACATTTACACTTTCTGTTAACATCGTCACAGGAAATGGAGGCCTAACACCGAAATACTTTTCAACAATGTTGAACAATTTGGATAAATGGATAAATGAAATCATTAGTTTGTCTTTACTATTTACTCTAAAAGTCAAAACTTTTAGAGTAAAGTAAAAGTACTTTGATATTTGTTTGATCCAAGTTATTGTGACAAACTGAAGAAATCTGTAAGGCAGCAAATATTTCTCCACCTCAGTTTTTGCACATTGAACAGCACAAATACTTAGAATGAGGCAGTTAAATGAGGACATGGCACAAACAACATTAGGAACCTGTGACTTAAGCACTCAGCAAACATGATCTGCTTTATTAGAATATGAATGTTACACCTATTCTACTTTTCAGCTGCTGAAATGATGTAGAGTTTTAAGATTTTAGCGTCTAGTTTGTTTCCTAACATACTTCATTTCCTGACCTGAGGAACACGACCCATTTAACCTGTTTTTACTTTGACACCTGACACTTACTGGGCTCCGTAACAGATAGTTAAAGGTAAATCAGAAACAACAAAACAACTTAATCCTTACAACCCCTGCACTGGACTACCTGAAAAACTTCACCTGCTCTCATGGGAAGCAGTTGTGCCACTTTCAGCGCCCTCTCCCCCGTGTCTTTATTTATTTCCCTCCTCTATGCCAACATGATGTTTGTGGCATGTATAGAAACACATAATGCAGTAAAACACACCCTTTTCCCCAACTTACACCTCAGTCCTCTAGCTATTACGTACGTCTAAAACTAACATGGCATCCTATCAGTTATTCTTCTGCAGCCCAAATGTCACTTTTTAACTACTGAACTGAAAACAGCAGGCAGACGGTGCAACAGTCCTGTCTATTGTAAACTACTGAGCTGATTGAGTCCTTTCCACTGGACCTGTCATCTGCAAATTCTGGATATATATATAAAACTCACACTACAGTGTGAGGTTTATAGCCCTGCATTTTTGAATTATGGCCATTGGGATGGGACTGAAGGTATGCAGGAGGGCACATGTGCATTTCTCTCACCAACATCCCCACATGGGTTTATGTATGCACTGTTCCAACAACTCTAGGTGGGAATACAAGCATTTTTTAAAAGTCTGCAAAGTTCTTATGAATAATAGCTTTGTTGCACTTTCCGAGGGCGAATTTGGCCTTTAAACTGCTCATGAATCCACGTGTCGTGCTCGAGTCGAGCTTTAGCGCGTTTGATTACAGTTCATCAGGTTCGTCATAAAGATCTGTGTCTAAAAATAAATCTTATTCAGTAAAGACAAGAGGACATGTAACGACACGTGGAGACCAAGGATTGGGGAAGCCTCTGATTGGCTGTCACATCTCTCCAAGCATTCCTTCATGTTTTTCCCGTCCTGAAGCATTCAACAGGTCTGATTTATGAAGCTGTATTCTTGTCTGTGCTTCACCCCAAAAAACATGCCTGCCGCACCGTCGTGGTAACACTGAGGGAGCATGCAGGAGTTCAGCAGAGGAATGGATTTAACTAAGGTCAAACTAGGAGATCACTAAGGGAAAATGAGGTCTTTTGTGTGGGAAAAGGTAAAAAAAATAATCATTTTGTGATGGTTCCTCATGCTTCTTATAAATTATACCCACCCTGTATGGGCTGTCCTCTCTGTGTGACATAGCTTAGCATATTTGTCATCTTCTACCTGGATGTACCTTTCCACTATCCAACATCCTGACTTTACCCCCCTGCTATATCCAAAGTTTTGTACAAATGTTTTAAAGTGAATAATTCCCTTTTTATTTTATAATCGTAAATGTTATGTTTTTATAAATATTATTTATTATACAATGTATATATCTGTATGACTGAACTAAGATTATATATTTGAAGAAGAAAAATCTGTCTGTCTCGTGTTTCTTGATGTTTCCGTCGTCAGATCAAGATCTTCACTTGTCAAGTTGGTACTGGTGTGTATTTTTATTTATTTTTTTTTTCTGTGGACAAAAACAAAATGACAGTACATTCTTCAAAGTAGGACCGGATTTCGAGGGTTCCGACACAGCTCAAGTATGGGGAAAAATTATGTAAAAATATTAGCAACTTTTATTGTCTACGTGATAAATATTTGAATTTATAAAAGAACATTACTCTAACCAGAAGGGTTTTTTTTTTTCTTGTGCTGGTAGTTAAATAAACGTTGCACATACAGTGTTTTATCCATCCATTCACCCATTCCCTTCATCTAGCCTTCCTCACGGTATGTGGTTTTGCGTCTTTTGTATCAAAACGATGTGGAAATATCTCAAATTTGCATGCAGTCTTTGATTCTATACACAGACAATGTTTCAAAAATCGACTGAGAGCTCAGGAGGTTAGAAAAGTGTGGGACGTTTACTTGGAAAATGTGTTGGAGCCTTGTATTTTATTGATTTACATCCAATTGGCTGTCCTTCATTTATTGAGGTGAATTCACTATTCTGAAGACTGAGCCTCCGGCGATGAAACAACACGTTCCTCAGTACTAATAAAACCAGAAGAAATGTAAGCAGCAGCACTCACAGCACTGCAAGGCTTTGAAACTTTTCTCTTGGTTACAACTAATTCTGCGTTCTAACTAAGCCTGTAATTGTCTTCCAGCAGTTAAAGTAAGCACTTATATTAAGGCAGTAGCTTTGACAGTTTCCCATCACAGATGGGTGGAAACAAAATCAAGAAGGAAAGACGAACCCCCAACAAGATGTTGCCCTGGGTAGTTGCCCATATCAGAAAGCACCACCAGTATGAGCTACAATTTTACTTTTAAATAACACAGAATGTTATTTAAAAGTAAAATGTATGAAAATGAATAACTTTGAATACTTTGCAAGGTTTTGCACAAACAATGTTGCGCAGAAGTGAGAGAAATAAAAGCCAAAGTTAAAAAAAAAATAAAAATCCTCTAAATATCTAAACATTACAAGAAAGTCTGGATGATCGGAACCGAGAAATGAGGCACGATTCTTAAATGTTGCACACAGCTTAAAGATGGATGAGCATTAATTAACAAGAAACAGAATTTATTCATATCATAAAAAGATCAGATCGAAGCGAGTGCACAACTTGAACACCAAGTCGTGTCATGGAATGATTAGGCTACACAAATAAAACTGTCTCATAATTAGTGTTTGTGCACATGTTGTTATAGATGTGCCTCAGTCGCGCTGACTCTTTTAACGTAAATGAGTGAAAATCCCTAAGCAGCTCTGGCGACCAGGATGGCAGCATTAGTCATCAGAAAATCCAAAACGCAAGCATCCAACATATACAAGTTCTAGTCTCGTTTCCCATCTTGGCACAGTTTTGAAGTGAAGTCGGTGTCCAGGTCGGTGGCTGCTGCAGACATCTGCACTGCAGGGAACTTCACATGGATGAGAAGGAAGGATCCAGATTGATGCCTCTCCCTGCCAGCCTCTTTCAGGCCTCCGCTACTCAGTCACTGAGCGGAGAGAAAAAAAAAAAGTATAAATGAGAAGAGATTGGCAGGAAAAAGGAAAAAAAAAGAGGACGTGTCGCCACAAGGGAGCAGCTGTCTAGCCGGCTTATTTTTAGGAACACTGTTTATGCCGACTATACCATAAGTCTCTGAGGCTGCGAAGAAAAGCAAAACTCCTGCAGGAGGCGGAGAGGCTTTCTTTCTAGTCTTTGCACCGTGGGGAGCCAAGTCTTCACAGGATGGATGTTAAAAGACGCCGTTAAGCGTGTGGCACCAAAACTTTTGGAAACTTTCGAGTTTTGTTTCGTTTCAAATTTCAGTCAGAAGTTCAAATGCTCTCATTACAGGCAAAAAAATTATTTTGGATCAAATTTACAGGCTCAAAATTATACATACGTGATGAAGAGCAGATACTTACATCCACTGAAGAAAAAGACAAATCTTCCCTTCCTACCTTCTAACAATCAGACTACACATCAGTTACCTTGATTACTTGTTAGGATCATATGTTTCAGATATTATTTCAATACTTTAAGATTATTTTGTGATTGTGAATATCCAGATATTAGTAGACCCTGCCTGACTGTATGAAGTAGGCTAAGCAAACTCAAAAGAAAGACATTATATTCCAACCTATTTTTTTAAGTATTACATTAGAAACAAAGTCACTGTAATCTGTCTGAAAATTAATCTCCAGCTTAGCTAAGTATTGATGATTTGACAATAAGAAATAGAAGACTGAGGGGAAAAAATAGCAACCATTTGAGAGACAGGAGGCCAGAAACACACCCTGATCAAAATAAGTGGTAATGTGATCCTAATGATCTTCACGACTTTGTGGACGTAGCTTTGCAAAACACCCATTAGCTATGAGAAATGCTTGACGGCAGCTGCTGCTAGGTTTAATGGACAATTAACTTTTCCACATTTCAGGTTGGTTTGGCTGGCTCCTTTCCTTTAATAAATGAAAATCTTGTTTTTTATTTACTCAGGTGGCCTTTGTCTGACAGACTTTTGATGAACCGAAACATTTCAGAAGAGAAGAAATCTGGAGAGAAGGTGGAGAGGGTATCTCACGAATCAGGGTTGATATTGAACTTTTCCACCGTATCGAACAAGCCCTGCAGTTTCCGTTTTCGTTTGCATGTGGAGTGTCAATGAAGCCAATGGTGGTTGTTAATCTGGTTTGCCGCTACATGTGCTCAGCTCCATGTAATCTCCCTTTAATCCAGGCTCTGCAGTCTTACCAAGGAAGGATGACTCTTCCTCATTATGTTTCTTCACTGCTTCGAGATTCCAACCAGCTTAGAATCAAGGCTACAGAAAAAAATTAAAATAACAGAGAGAGAACATGTGTATTATTAATCTCACTTCATATACTGATCGAAATGTATACATCTGGCTCTTCCCTGTCTCGGTCAACAGTGACAAATGTGTGCGAGTGTGGTGAGAGTGTTCAGTGTCACAGAAACAGGAAGAGGATACTTACCCTCCTTCATCCCTCAGTAGACTCAGGAACTTACTGACTCTGTAGTCAGGGTCCATCTGCAAGTAAGAAACGTCTTAGAAACTATGTTTCACTTTTACTAAAACTGGAACACGTCGTTTTACATCAAACTGTGCGAAAAAATAAAATATTTAAAATGGGGCAAGAGAGAGAAGAAGTGGATTCAACCGCACGGGAGCAACGAGAGGGAAACTGGGAATGTGAAGACGAGTGACGCCGCACGCCTGTTCGCAGCATGTCTCGGCGAACACAGGTTCATATTTCTTCAGGCGCAGAAGAGGGAGGGTGTAAAACATGGCTGCTGCCGTGCATACCACAGCACTTACACACCACATCCAGGCTCGACGAACAGACACAAAGTTAGGAGATGATGCTGCAGGAGATGTTCTGTCGGGCTACACGAGCAACAAAATAAGGTGCAGGGCCTCGCAAACGTATTTATGTCAGTTAAACCTCTGACATTTAGTCACGTTCCCACCACAAACTTTGATTTGTTTCACCGATGCAAAGTGGTGCGTTGTTGTAAAGCGGAAGGTAAACAATGCATGCATTTAAAATCGGTTAACAAATAGAAATTTGACATGCATGTGTATTCCTGAGTCGGTACTTTCTACAATCCTGTTGATTTGATTTAGCTTGGTAGTTTGACAAGGCCATTCGAGGCCATTAACATTCTTTGATCTAATCTATTCAAAGCAACCCTTAAATCAAGCAAACAACATCTGCCTCATTGTTATGCCATGTTTTATTAAAATCTCCAATAACACTCCATCAAATATCACAAAGAAATGAAGAGTGAGCTTTTTTTAATTTTATTCCGAGCTGTTATGTTGTCCCCCTCGTGCGATGACGCCCAGGGCAGAGAGCCATAATACCACCTCTGAGAGTTCAGGAATTCAGTCCGAGTTATGAGCTTTCCCTGTCTGCATGTTTGCCAGGATAAAATAAAACCCCAGGCGGTGACCAGGCGCGGACTGACCTCAGCGGGATCTTCACCGCCAGATATCTGTCGATCGCGATGGCCAGCAGGCTGAAGATGGAGCTTTGAGTGAGTACCAGCACGAAACAGGCGACGGTGTGAAGCAGAAAAGCCTGGAAATCAGCCGGGAATGGGTTTTGGTCTCTGAGCCCTCGGGCGGCACAGCATTGGAAACGGATTAGCGGAAAACACAGGATAAGCTCAGGAACCGCTCAGCGACGCTCCGAGTGAAATTACTGCTGCGTCCTAAAGTTAAATCTCTACCAGGACTCAAGAGCTCCCTGATGTTGCAACTTTTACGGAAAATCACAGCGTAGGATCAAGTTAGACCAACGTGGTCCATTTATTTTATCACACCTTTATAGTAATCGGTGACTGAAAGCTAAAAAAAAAAAAACAGAGGATAAATAAGAAAAACCTGCTGCACTAATACCGATTTCAGATTTTTCTTTGTGTCTTGCTCAATTCAGTTTGACTCTCTGTTTAAATAACATTCAAATTTATAGAATATGATTGAAAATAATCCATCCATCCATCTATGTTCTTACGGCCTAGTATGCGGTCAGGAAGTGTGCTGGTACCTATCTCCAGCGGTCAACAAGTCAGAGGCTGGGTCACCCTGGACAGGTCACCCTGGTCAGGTCACCAGTCCATTGCAGGGAAACAGAGACACACGCACACACTCATTAAGGAGGATTTAGAGAACCCACTTAACAGTCATACTTTTGGACTCTGTGGGAGGAAGCCGGAGTACCCGGAGAGAACCCACCATGCACAGGGAGATGATGCAAACTCCATGCAGAAAGACCCCGGGCTGAGAATTTAACCCAGTACCATCAAACTGCAAGGCAACAGTGGTACGAACTATGCATCCCTTTTTAAGT